TACTACTACTACTACTACTACTACTACTACTACTACTACTACTACTAAGCAACAGATTTTGCACCCGCCTTACATGCTACCATTGCTTTCGAAGGCTACTCCGTGCCATCCGATGTGACACTTGCTCATACGCAATTACTTGTCAGGAGATCTCTACCAACAATGAAAGAGAATGGGTTGCAATCTGCCAATGTGCGCAAGCGTAGGTTGGAAAAAAGTCAAAAGCGGACATTGATGTTGGTCAAGACACAACCACCGACACCGACGACGATGACAAAAATGAGGAATAACATGGAATAACAATTCAACGATACAAATAAAAACATGATGGCAACAGCAACGACAACAGCAGCAACATCAACAACAATAACAATAACACGAACGAGTAAAATGGCAGTGCCAATTCCATACGATTTTCCAATGATATCGATACTAGCAAGACTACTTGTAAGATGGATCCAGAGAGAATAGCAAACTCATCATGTGAAAGGAGAGAAGGGTAAACACACAAACGGAAGACATACAGACGAATGCGGGGGAGAGAACTGAATTGCTTCTACAAGGGAAATGCGAACCCATACGGGAGAGCTGGTAGGAACCAAGAATGGATAGTCATAGACCACAAAGCAGGATAGCAGGTACAAGTACATATCAGCAACAAACAGAATGGAGGTGAAGTAATTGCAAACAGAGGTGTTGACGCCCAGAGGAACCCTGGGGTATGTAGGGTATGGGTTGAGAGCGATGTCATTGGTCACAATGTAATTAGGCTCCAAACCGTGCCTGATTTGTGCTTCACGGCTAGAGTCAATCTCATTGACCCATCCTCGCGTGATCATTGGGCGGCATGGTCAAAGAATTCCAGACACTAAACACAGTTACACCACGCACACAAACAGCGGGCGCCGCACGTGCTTGTTCAATGAGCTGCGTGCAGTGCCACCTCCAGATTTTGACTAAACATGATGGAAATCATTGCAATTGAAGTGAAGTAATGGCAATAGATATGTACATGTGAAAACATCATTCCCTCCCACCTTTGGATGTTTGATGCTGCTACTAGTGAGAGCAAATCAGCATCTTCAGCTCCTGTCCAACCTTACCAAGGCACGCTGAGTTTTTGTAGAGGTGGTGCATGTTGTGCCACGTATTTCTAAAACTGTGATACTGCCAGGCAATTCAGTATGACCTTGTGGATCACAAGGTCTGTGCAAAGATGACATGTCGATTGTTTTGATTGAAAGTCTCTGGGTGCTTTGCGGATGACTGGGCCTTGAGAAGAACTCATTCCAGACCTGATGCTTGTCCGTTGCTCTGACTTGGTCGTTTAAAGTCACCTGGCATGTTTGAACTACTGTTGACCTTTGAGATATAACACGAACACAAGTGTCACACCAAAGAAAAACAACTCATTGGGTATGCTCAGGCATCACGGCATCACTGTTCCTTCTTTATTGCTCTTCTTCTCTCCGTCTTTGCATCTCATCTCGCGGCCTTCGAGTCCACATTTCTTGGGGTGAAAGACGTGGTCGAATCGTCTCCTAGACAAAAAGCTCAGCTTCTTTCACAGCAAGCTAAATAGCAAGGATATATATATATATATGTATGTATATGGTGCCCCCCTCCAAAAAAAATATACCTTTTATGTGTTTGACAGTGTTTTAGTGATATTTTGGGCTCATTTTGTTGAGTTATATTTAGGGACCTTTTTCTACATTATTGTTTGGCACACTTTCTGGAGGGTGGTACCATATATATATATATATATATCTAGAAAGAAATACGAACAGTAAGACTCCAGTACTATCCAGTACTTAGAGGATTGGGGCATGAGAGAGGTACGAAGAGGTCTTCGTACCTCCTGGATTGAAGATTGAAGATTCTACCGAGTCTTTGGGTGGAATCTTCAATCTTCAATCTTCAATCTAGGAGGTACGAAGACCTCTAAAATGTCTAAGTCAGTGCACTTGCTAACTTTCTGTGGCAGCTTGCCATTCCAAGCCTCAAGACTACGTGTAGTGTTTTTCTTTTTTTCGCAATTCAAGGCTGCATAGACCAAAGCAAAAACCAAAAAAAACATCATGTTGTTGTTTGTTTGATAAATTAAACTGCGAGTGGATCTTAATCAGCGAAGTTTGAAGCTATCACTGACGGTC